ACTGAGGCTCTACCCATGCAGCTAGGTAACTGTCTAACCTCTTAGGCGCCACTCTCCATCCACCCGAGATCTGGCACACAGGGTGTTCTCTAGTCCAGCACCTGTGCATATTATAGGTGACTTACGCATAGACATAGATGAACCATCTAATGTCCTAGCACCCAGTTTGTCAGTATTTTGAACACTTTAATGCCAAATGACTGTCACCACCACTGGACTTCTGGGATGCCTTTTATTCCAAAATGTACATTGTAAGAATCATCCAGAACTCTGCTCTACTCCAGCTTCCCATCTCCCGAATAAAACAAGTCTCTCCTGGTGCCCCATGTCTCTCCAATAGGCCTTTTGCCTCATCTAGGGCTTCAGAATTCTAAACTCACTTTCCTCCACTCTATCTCATTTCCATTACTTTCTACTTCGCTTATACACTACAATATAATCCTTCAACACTTGCCCATTGTTCTCCTATGTCCTTAATCCATTACTCTATCTTCATGAACAAATGTCAACCTAAATTAATCCAGACAGCTGACAATTCTATCGCCGTACCTCATATAACAAGATTTCTACAGAAACGCCAGAAACCAAGAAAACCAGTGACTTTACAAAATGAATTCCTAATATTAACAAGTGAGCATCCATTCTCCATTAAACCAGTGTAAAATTCTCCAGAGTCTCCCTTTGACACAATACTCAAGAGATGGCTTTGTTCCTTATTTAGTAAGAAATATAACTCACCAGATGGGAAACTATTAATTTCCCCCAACTCTCTGACCCAATCCAATTCACCAGCCTATGTACTTTTCTTTTCTTTCTTTTTTAATTTGAGACCAGGGCTCATGTAGGCCAAGCATAACCATGTAAGGGAATAATGAACCACTGGCCTATACCTCCAGCAATATGTACACATTCTGAAAACTTCCACCTTCTACTCAGGCTCCTTGCCCTTCAGTAAACACCTCATTCTCCAAGTTAGTCATAATGGTGCAGGCATGAAAGGAAGAGGCAGGAGGACCTGGGGTTCAACATCATCCTGGCCTACAAAGAAAGATCCTGTCTCAAAAGCAAAGCAAAGCAAACAAAATACTCCCAGCATCAGCAATTCCCCAGGCCTGAGTATCTTTAGACTTTCTCTGCTTTCTGCTCTTGGAGAAGCTGAGGAAAGCAGGAGGTAAGAGTGAGAGGGAAACAATCACAGGTCACAAAATAGCAGGTGGAAAGGCTGACACTTTAATTTTTTGGTTTTTCTTGTTAAACAAAAGTTAAAGTTTCTCAAGAAGAAGCAGAGTAAGCAGATGGGAGAGTAGGCTGGTCTGCAAAAGTCAGCTAAAAAGCAGGCAGTCTTGCTTCATCAAGAAACTGGTGAAATTGACATTTTCAAGCAAGAACTGGTTAAGGAGATTTTTATTTTCCATCTTCCATATCAGAGTAGTGACTAGAAGTCCTGCGCCAGCTTCCTGCACTATTAGTAAAGTGTCAGAACGCAGTCCAAGAATGGAGTCATGTGAGGATTCTGAGTGCCTGTGAGAAAACTCCAGGAAAAGAAGACAGGACTCTTGTCACCTCAGTTTCTTCAAAATACAGCACTGATCTTGGAATGTGTTTTCATGCTCCTTCCAGATGTAGCATGAGAAGTGAGCGCACTTCAGCGGCTGCTATCTATGTGCCTCTATGGAAGAAACGTGTTCTTGCCACAGGGAGCTTGACCTTGTGACCCAACACCTTCCAAAGCACTATCTCTACCCAATCTTCTAATCCTCTCACATTCTTAAGCTCACTGCAATCAGCCTCACCACTATCTCAGCACAGGTCTGCAGCCGCCAGGGAACTACCTGTTGCTCAATGCAACGTCGCCCTTCACTCCAATTAAAACGTTCATTTGGCTTCTCCAACTCAGATTTGTCTCCATGGTCAAAGTTACTATACCCAACTCCCTATCCACTCCAATAAGTTGTCTTAATATTCAAAACCAAACAGGCTGGTTCACACTCCACAGCTCCTAAACACAGTCCTCCCATACCCGGCTCCAGCCCAGTAAGAAAGACCTTACTCCCCAAAGCACACACTGATCTTCCCTGTTTCGTATGCTTTTATCCAGTCTGTCAGGATTTGTCTATGCTACCGGCTTGATCCACTTCTCAGGGATCTCTCATTCGGACAATTCTTATGTCCTTCTGTTTGTAGCAAATATTTCTGAACTGTTTTGTCAGACAGCCAGGCTAGAGCAGCTGGAGTGGACAGCTCCATTCATACTGCCAGAGTTCACAACTCAAGGGTACACTGGATTCTCACTTTCCCTGTCTCACTATAAAAACCTCAAAAGTACATCAAAGGAGTCATTGCCTTCAAAAGAGGCAGGAAGACAATCCTTACCTTAGGAAAGGTGAGGCTGTCAGGGGTGGGGATGGGGGAGTAAGAAAGAGCAAGAGGGACAATTCTGGTAGGTGCACACACGATAATCTGTGCATCCACGGGAGCTTACAGGGTCTCCTTGTTGCCCTCTGACTAAAGTCTAAGGAGGGATGTATGCTCTGCTTTCCTTCCATCAACCTATTCTCCTGTCAGTAGCACTCTGGAAACTGAAGTCTACGGGCTGTAAAACACAGCAACCAGCAAACAAAAGATACTCAGTAACTACTTAGACTGGCATAAGTGAATTTAGGGTGCACAAATAAAGGCTGCTAAGACAAAATCACCTTCTGGCAGTAGGATGGAGTTCTAGAACCCATGGCATCTCCCTAAATAACACTTCATTATCATTATTAAGCAAGATCTTATTGTAACTGAAAAAAATCAAATCAACTTCCCTGAACCTCGGCATGAATATCCACAAGATATACAAATTGAAAGTGTCTGCACAGTATATTCCTTTGACCAATTCAAATACAGAATCTTCTCTACATCAAAGTCTCTTAGCTTCCTTCTGACATACAAGCGATATTATGATCCACTAAAATACCATCAGTTAACTGTCTATCACATCACCTAGCCCAGTAACGACTGACTGCTCACTCTTACGGAGTACTCACTGTGTTAGAAGTGATGTGGGAACTCTTTACAGGGACTCCCGTGCTGTCTCCTCCATAACCCAAGGTCACACACAGGTCCTACAGATTCACTTCTCACACAAACACGGGCACAGGGCAGATAGTACAGGCAATGCAGCTCAGAGATAAGGCTGAGAGCAACCCCTAGGGCTCTGATCTGCCTCTTAGCGCCAGCGCTCTCAAGGGCTTTGCCTGAGCGTCTCTCAGAACATGGCACCAAATTTTCAGTAAACGTAAAGTGCTAATTGACTATAACAAAGACTAGAGTAGCCACCAGAGCTCAAACATCAACACCCCTCGCTTCGAGAACTGACCACCACAGCATGTCAGCCACTTCCCTCTTCTTTTCTAACGTGCTCCCCCCATCAAAAGCAAGCCTAATTTTTCACTTTCAGGTGATAGCTGACAGAAGCCAAGCAGGCTTTCGCAGCAGCCTCATTTCTCATACCGTTGAGGAGACACCCCCGAGCTTAATTGTTTCCACAGTGGTCCCGGAGTCCTCCACAGCTGTCTTCTTCTCTGGAGGCACAGATGTGCCTGGCTCTCCAGCCGCTCTTTTGCTTCCGATGCCCGACATCTCGGCATATAACGGCGGTCACTTTTCTGAAAGGAAAAAAAAAACAAAAAACATGAACTGAAGTAAGATAAGCAAAGTAAGCCACAATACAGAGCACCGAGGTAGAAAAACTAGCAAGTTATTCCACATCCAGCAGCACCAAACCTAAATGGAGAGGGGGGCGTGTCTGTGAGAAACGGGAGCTGGACTGACGGGGTAGTGGGTTTATACACAAAATGTTAATAATAATAGTCATAGAATAAAGAGACTGAATAAATTTTAGGACTCTTCACTTTGAGACACAAAAACAAAAATAGAAAAGGACAGGTTATTTATGACAGAAATTAACGTTAAAGTGTTCGTCTGGAGACTTTGAGCTGAAAGAGATGTAGGAAATGTTAGCAAAGTCATTAATCGTATACAAAGTCAGTTATCTCTGAACCTGCTTCCCACACCAAGAATAACAGTATGCTTGCTAGACTTAACTGTAACGGGAATATGACATAATTAGAAAAATAACTTAAAGAATGTCAGATGAACACTACGCACCTAAGAAACTCAGGCGTTCTCTTTACTATTAAACGCACTCTTGGGAACTCTGGAAACGTCAGGTCTAGGGGAGCACCCGGGCGCTTCGTTTGGGCAGCCGGGTCGCCTTAAGAGACCGCGTTTGCCAACAATTCCCGTTTCTTCATCTGTACAAACGAGGTGTACTTTTAGTAACTCCCCCACCTGACTCTGGTTCCGAGGCTCGACCGGGGCGGAATGGATGCTAAGGTCCTTTCGCGAGAAACCCGACCATCACCAAACTACACCCGGCTGGCTCCAGACTTGAACTCCAGGACGAGGCATGGACGGCAAGCGGCGATCTGAGTCGGACCTCGCCTGTAAAGAGAGGAGGCAGGGACTGAGCAGGGAGCCCAACTTGACTAGAAAGCGGCCAACGAACTCAGCAGCCTCCAGGCCTGTAAGAGGGGACCCGGGAGTCCGCCTGACGGACTCCCCGCTATCCCAGCCCGGGAGAGCCCGACGCCACAGCCGACCTGGGCTCCCGCAGCTCACGCCCCGGGGCGCGCGGGTCCCGGCGGTTATTCACGTAGACCCCGGCGGGACTCTCATCCCTCACTTCGGACAGGCTACGGAGAGGGAAGGAGCTTCACGGAGGCGGAGGCAGGGAAAGGAAGTAGGGAAAGAGAAAAGGAAGTTGCTTCAACCCGGCCCGCTGCACTATAAGCAGGAGCGGGCGGAAGTGGCGTTGGAGGGCGCCTGGCGGAAGTGACGCGTGAGGAAGGCGCGGAGAGGTCTGAGTGGGCGCGGCCTTCTCGGTGACGTCTGAGAGGGGCGGGACCTGACCTAGGTTTAAGACCCGAAGTAGCCAGTTCGAGGCCAGTCAGGGAGCATGTGCTGTAGAAGCCCGTTACTATTGCTGCTGGAAAGCGTTTTGTTTTGCTCTCTGTTGCTATGTCTAACGTAACTCGTCCAAACTGCCGATTAGCTGGTGCTCCTGTCAATCTCCCAACGGGCTAGCGCCAGCACCTAAAACAACTTTTTTGTTTGTTTGTTTTTAAGGTGATGAAGAGTTCTGCAGAGAAACCAAGGGACTGGACAGATCTCAGGTCTTGTATGATGTTCTTAAGGGGAAATTCTAGCGGGACCGTGGTGGTGCACGCCTTTAATCCCAGCACCTTAATCCATTCATCTCTCTGCAGGCAGAAGCGGGCGGATCTCTTTGAGATCAAGATCAGCCTACTCTACAGAGCAGCTCCAGGACAGCCAGGGCTGCACAGAGAAACCTCCAGAAAACCAAAAATAAGTAAATAAGCACATATATAAATGGGGGGGGGGGGGGAGGCAGATTAAATTCACCCGGAGGGTTTTAGCCCTTTGTGGGATTAAAAAAAAATACCCTTATCCCATCCAGTCTCCATCCCATGAATTATCACCACAGGTTTGAAGACTACTGCTTCTGTGTTTAGGGGGGATAAGATACTGAAGAGGACCCCAGAAAAAAGGAAAAGAAACCAACTAGTCGGGCGGTGGTGGCACACGCCTTTAATGCCAACACTCGGGAAGGAAGAGGAAAGTGGATCTCTGTGAGTTCGAGGCCAACCTGGTCTACAGAGCTAGTTCCAGGACAGGCTTCAAAGCTAAAAAAAAAAAAAAAAAAAAAAACCCTGTCTCAAGGAACCAATTAGTACTGTGTAATTTCAGTACCAGTCGTCAAGACATAATTAAGGTATTTGGTATTTGTTTATAATTAGTGTATGTGTTTGAGTGCCCACATGAAGATGTCAGAGGACAACTTTTGGGAGTGGGTGGTAGGTACTTCCATGGCATGGGTCCCAAGGAGTGAACTCAGGTCAGCAAGTGTCTTTACTCTCTCAGACACCTTGCCAGACCAGTACCAGTCTGTTTTAAAATCATTAACCATTGATTTTTCTGAGTTAGTAATAAATGATTCAATTATACTAAATTCATTTTAATTAGAGAAATGTAATCAATCTAACCTGCTCATGAAAAACTGTACAGCTTCCAAAACCATAGCAAATCACCCAGTGCCATCAGATAAAGTTCCAGGAATGGAAGAACGGCTGTGCTGCCTTTGAAAAACAACACATGTTTGGAGAAAACCTAATCCACACTGAACTTCTGGTAGTGTGGCAAATGTCCTTGTACTTGACTGGTCTCACCTATGCATGAGATAAGAAGACCAACCAGGGTCGCACTTCTCTTGGCTACAGCACCTTACCTGGTCCAGAGGAAATTGTCTGTAAATGAACTTCCCACTCCCCTTTGGTGAAGCAGAAGGCTGAAGATTGTCCCCTTGGCCTACCTGCTGGAAAGACCCTGGAAGAGCAAGCAATGGCTTCCACTGGGAAACAGATAAAAAGCCATCTTCAGCATGAAGAGAAAGAGCCCAGTTCCAAAGCTGTTAGACATGAGGGATTAATGTCGGCCCTGGAGTTGCGGTTCCCACCCTCATGTACAGACTCCATGCAGCGGTGCTCATTAGGACCACATGAGAAACAGGAGCTCCCTTCTGCCATCCCTAGCCAGAGAATTAAGGGACTGCTGCTTCAGGTCCCTGCGCCGAGATGTTTGTCCTGTTTCTGTCTCCTCTTTTCATCAGTGTTCTCCCGCGGCTGTTGTCTGAGGACTGTCATTCTTTAGAGTGAAGCCAGCTGGGGGTGTAATAATGAAGAGACTCTAGGAAAATGGAAACAGATGAGCGGAGTCACCTTAACTTTAACTTTAGAGTGCAGGGAAAATACTGAGATGAGAGCAGACCTATCTTGAAATTTTAAATTCTCACCATATGAGTGACCTTTTTTTCCCCCGCAGCTACTGGTGAAGTTATCATTTTCAAAAATTCTAGTAAGTCATCTGCCGCCTTCACACATGCCAACGTTTTCTTCCGGGATCACACACACACACACACACACACACACACAGAGAGAGAGAGAGAGAGAGAGAGAGAGAGAGAGAGAGAGAGAGAGAGAGAGCTGTGACGACAGAGAAAGGCCAGCTTGAGGAATTGGCTCATGAGGTTATGGGATGGGTTTTGGTTCAAATTTTGCAGAACCAGGGAATGGCTGTAATGGGAGTCTAAAAGCAGTCCACTGGCAGAATTCTTTCCCACTAGAAAAGGAAAACGGATCCACCAGTCTTTTTCCTTAACATTAAGGGCTTTGCTTGATTGGATGATGCCTAACAACTTAATGGAAGATAATCATTAGACAACCAATCTAAATGTTAGCCTCATATGATTTCACTTGTATATGTCTCATCATTTTTCTTAATATTATAATTTAAATAAAATAATAATAGTTTTATTTATTGGGGGAATTGTTTAATTTTGACACAGAGCCTCACAGGGGACCCTAGACTGGAGTAGAATTCACCATGTATCGTCAAAGACCCTGAGACTGTCCTCAAACTTATGTATTAACCTCCTGAGTACTAGGGTCATTGGCATGAGTCCAGCTGTCTGTCTGTCTTTCTGCGGAAAGTTTCACCATGTGTTTCAGCATGACTACACAGCAGCCTTGAACTTGTGGATATTCTCCCTCCGCTTCAGAAGAGCTGGAATTACAAACATGTGCCACGGTGCCTAACTTGATTCTTTTGTAAGGGGGAAGTTTTCCCAAGCTATAGAATTTGTTGAAGAACCCAATTGGACTTCAAACCTGTCTTCATTAATGACATAATTCGGCCACAAGGTGGCAGCAGGTTATGTTTCGTCCGGTCCCCTTTTTATTGCTTTGATGGCAAGGTATTATTCTTATTTCTGTCATCTCATACCCTGGAAAACCTGGACAACTATTTACTTATAGGGCAAATTTTAAATCTATTTTAAAATAATTTTCAAGCAATTATTGTAAGTCCATAGTAAATGTGTGTGTGGTAACCAAAACTGTTAAGGAGCTGTATTTCTTGACTCTTCCAGCATATTGCTGAAAGGTTAAGGAGGCTGCAGGAATGTAGGTATCCTATTCATTTCTATACAAAAATAACTTAAAAGCATTAAGTCAACATATTATTAATTCAGGATTTGCACAAATAATCTCCACTCATAATCTCTATTTTACCTCTTACTTTATCTTCAAAAGTAATTGTGTTTTTTATCGTTTAAAGTAAATTCAACAATGCTGGACTCTGTGGTACACACCTGTAGCCCTAGAACTTCAGAGGAGGGAACAAGGGAATCACTTGAGTGCAAAGGTTCAAAGTCAGCCTCGGCAACATAGTCGGACTTACATCTCATTAAATAGTTTAGCACATGAACTCAGGACTACCGCCACTGCTGAAAGCCACCCCTCCCCTTAGAACAGTGAGGCTGATCAGTCTGGTCCCAGATTCCAGGGAAGCTGGATGAAGCCACAAGTGAGAGGTGAGCATACAGGTTACAGCAGCACTGGGGCTGGATCCCACACCCCCCAAACAGAAGCTGGAAGTTCCACAACCCTCTGTGCCTATCACTGTCTCCCCATCAGCCGTCACCTCTTGCCATGTGACAGCCATGGCTCTGGATCATGAGTTCATCGTTCCTTTGATTTTTCTTTTTACTTGTGTAATTTACTGTGTGATTTTCTTATATCTGAGTGTGTGCCTCAAAACAGCACACAATTTAGTTGCTTTACTGCTGTTTTGTTTGCAGAGCAATAAGTTAACCGTCTTCACCTGCTTTTTCTCTCCCTTCCCTCACACTGGATTCTTATCTCGAAACACTAAAGTCTATGTCACATTTCTCAAAGGGATGTTCTCTATTTTTATTTTTATATTTTATATTTTGGTTTTATTTCTTCTAAACAAAGAATTTATGATTGCCTCTATTTTACAAACTTCTATTTTTTTTAGATTTATTTTGTGTGTATAGGTGTCTTCTGACAAACTTCCCCCTTCTCAAATTTCTTACAACATATCTTTTTTTCCTCCCTTTCCTTTCTTATGAAAGGATAATTCTGCCAGTGTTCTTTTTTTGTGTGGGTCCATTGAAAAATGAGAGTCATTCTAGGATGAGTTTAGGCTTAACAGCAGCAATGGAAGCAACTTCTGTGAGCTGACTGCCCCTAAAACTTTTCATTATCACCCAATTTACACCCTTAGCAAGCAATTTCAAAAACATATCAAAACCTATTATCTGGAGTTATTTAAAGGAACCATTTCCTCAAGCAATTACCAGCCATGAGACCTCTTGGTTTTCCAGGTTTCTCTCCTAACTAAATTTTACAAAGGCTCTCTCATTCCTTCCAGAAGAGCTCAGATAAGAATCCAACACTTTAAACAAAAGGTAACCATCACACAAGGTAATTCAAAGCCTAGGTGCTAAAACTGCGAAATTCAAGTCAGAGGCAATGTCTCCATGGGATCTCTGGCCACATAATTCTCCAATCTACCCTTTCGTGTGGGAAGTTTGTAAGACCTTATGCACAAGCAGTTTGCATTTTGCACAGTTTTAACGCAGCATTTTCAGTTGCCACACTTAGTTAAATAAGCCCCGACCTCAACGACTATGGTTCAGCTTCAGTTACTCAATGTAGTGTCTGTGACTACACAAAATGCAAGTGTTGTGGCTCCTCCATCATCCTCAAATCACCATACAGATAACATAGTTATGATGGGAAGAGACAAATCACATCACGCCTTTCCATGTCTCCTGGTGACTGGTCACTGCGCTTGGTATTTCAAGCACAAATGACAGAAGAGGTAGGCTAGGTTGCTTCTTTGTCTTTCAGTGATCAATTAACACGGTATTTCACAAAACCATAAGAGAGAATTAGCTGAAAAAGTTGAATTTACAGAAGAAATGATAATGCTACAAAGGCAAAATTGTGTGGAATTATAAGATTTGAAAATATCAACAGCAAAGGAAAGATAAGGAGTATACTTGCACAAAACAGTAATATAATACATATAATATATAATCTAATGAAAGTGAATGATAAGCATAAAAATTAATCATGCTAACTGCCAGAAGTCCAATAGGGCACCCACCCACGAACCCCCTCACTTTCTCAATGCCAATGTCCCCCATTCCCAATCTCCCCACCCATCCTCATCACAATGTCCCAACCCTCAACTCAGGCAAAGATCCCCTGCTTGATCATAGGCCACACCTGCCACCAAAAGTCCAGCCCACAACTTGGTTGGAAACCCCCAGCTCAACCACAAGCCACACTGGCCAGAAGACCAGAGGGAAAACAGAAACCAAGGAACAAAATACCCTTTCAACAAAGACAAACTCAGAAATCGGCATCTAAACCAATGTTTTAGGGTTTCTATTCCTGGGAAGAGACATCATGACCATGGCAATTTTTAAAAAGGAAAACATTTAATTGAAGTGTTGGCTTACAGTTTCAGAGGTTTAGTCCACTATCATCATGGCAGGGGGCATGGTGGCTGGGAGTATGGTAGTGTGCAAGGAGATGTGGAGCTGGAGAGGACGCTGAGAGGTCTACATCTTGCACAGGCAGCAGAGTGTGAACTGTCTCACTGGGTGGTATCCTGAGGATATAGGAGACCTGAAAGCCTACCTTCACAGAGACACACTTCCTCCATCAAGACCACACCTACTCCAA